CACACACTCACTCACTCACTCACTCTCACACACACACACACACACACACACACACACACACTCACTCACTCACAGACACTCACACACACACACACTCACACACACACACAGGCTAAATAACATACTCCGAATAAAGCAGACTGCACAAGATCCTGTGTCCCACAATGCACTACACTCAACTGCACATTCAGCTGCACATGACTCATTAGTTCAGATCACTGTTATTTTAGTAGTTTTTATAATATTTATACTATATCCTCTATCATACTATGTATTTATTATACTATTTATACTTATTTACTATTAGTATTTTGAATTTTGTTACTTGCTTTTTGTCATTTTTATTTTTTTGCTTTAGTTTTATTTATTTTTATTATTTGTTTTTAGCTTAATTTTAGTTTATTTTAGTGCATAATTTTAGTACCTGGTTTTAGTTTTTTTTTTTCTTTTAACGATTCGATTCAGTATAACATTGATTTAGACTTTTAAAACTGGATTAAATGCTGCATGACGCTCACTGAACTGAACGTGACCTGACATGATGTGTGCGTGTGTGCGTGCGTGCGTGCGTGTGCGCGCGCGCGTGTGTGTGTGTGTGTGCGCGCGCAGGAGGCTGAAGCTGGCTCAGTTCGATTACGGGCTGAAGTGTTCGGAGATTGCGAAGCATGTGGAGGGAATGTCCGGACGAGAAATCTCCAAACTCGCAGTCGCCTGGCAGGTTTGTTCGTCCGTGAACGACGTTAACGCTGCACGCAAATACACTCAAACTTCAAAATCAAAATGATTGAAATGGTCACTCAACAACAGAAATAGAATCCGTGTTTAAATGTTTGTGTGATGAAGCGTGTGCCGCAGAGGCTCATGGGTAATGTGTGTGTGTGTGTGTGTCAGGCGGCGGCGTACTCCTCCGAGGATGGTGTACTGACCGAGGCCATGATCGACGCGCGGGTGGATGACGCCGTGAGACAGCACCGGCAGAAGATGGACTGGCTTCATGGAGAAGGGGTTCTGGATAACGAGGGCCGGCCGACACCCACCAAAGGCTCCGCACCGCCGCTCAAGGCACAGGAAGTGCTCCGCCCTCTACAGGAAGTGCCATCAGACCGGAGCAAACGCGACGGGACTCCAGTTTAACGCTCGTTTGGAGTAACGATTAGAGCTGCAGAAGTGTCTGTCTGTTGTGTGTTTGTGCTGCTGTTTACTGATCACAAGTCTGTAACTTTAATTCACTGTTAATAATCACTGAGAAACTGGAAACAAGTCCACATGAAATCAATGGAAACTGTTTTTATGTCTGACAGTAAAGCAATTTTCGTTTCTTATGACGTCTGTTTTGAGTTTGAATGGAACCAGTTATGATTTGCAGCTCATTGACAAAATAACCAGATCATTTTACGAAATACTGTCACTTGCCAACACAATGTAAATGATTTCGGATAAAAGTATCTGCTAGATTAATTATGAATGAATGGATTATGAATTAATTAACATTAATTTAATACAATCAAATTTATATAGCTGAGTCAAAAACACAGTGATACAAAAAAAGACATGAAATTGATGATTGCAGCTTTTTGTCTACAAGAATCATCCGATCAAACTGATTCACCAAAATGATTCGGACTCTTCAATGCTAGATCCGAGATCTGTTTAAGATGAACCGACTCTTTAGAAAATATCGAACCTTCCAATATTATGTATAAGAACGAGATCCGTTTAGAACGAACCGACTCGCTAGAAAGAATCAAAGTTTCTGAAGAGCGAGAAAGATACGTTTAGGATGAACTGAATCGCTAGAAAGATTCGAACTTTCCAAAGCTACATATTAAAGGGATATTTCACCCAAAAATGAAAATGTGATGTTTATCTGCTTACCCCCAGGGCATCCAAGATGTAGGTGACTTTGTTTCTTCAGTAGAACACATTTGATGATTTTTAACTCCAGCCGTTGCAGTCTATCAGTCGTATAATGCATGGCAATGGTAACAAAATCTATGAGCGTAAAAAAAACATGCACAGACAAATCCAAATTAAACCCTGCGGCTCGTGATGACACATTGATGTCCTAAGACACGAAACGATCGGTTTGTGCCAGAAACCGAACAGTATTTATATCATATTTGACCTCTAATACACCACTATGTCCAACTGTCTTTGGGCGCGCGCAGGCATCTGGTGCGTGAGGTGTGTACGCGCTCTGGCGTAGTTTACGTTAATGGGTGTGTTGATATCCAGCCGAAGAGCAATCAACCATAACTTCAGGCGAGCAGGCTCAGAAGTTGGGAATACGTGGAAAGTCACCTTGTTACCATTGCCATGCATTATACGACTGATAGACTGCAACGGCTGGAGTTAAAAATCATCAAATGTGTTCTACTGAAGAAACAGTCACCTACATCTTGGATGCCCTGGGGGTAAGCAGATAAACATCACATTTTCATTTTTGGGTGAACTATCCCTTTAAGAGCGATCCATTTACTCTTTATTTTCACACCATAGTATATTCCAGCAGTTTTGATTTGCTGAAGCAGCTGAATTCTCCCAGCTATGATTATTGTTCTACTGACAACTGCTGAATGCTTAAAAGATACGGAATAATAATTTCAGCTACGCGTATTACTGACAAATTCACAAAATCAAGCATTACAGCTTTCTTAGACAAACAAAATCGTCAATGAAATTAATTATATATCCATAAATACTTATTTCAGAGAAACAGCAGGCGCGCGTTTATTTATTTTTATTATGCAGTTATGTACAAAATTAGTATACATCTCACAATAATTATGAAAAAACATGAAAAATGGCATACATTATATACGTAAAGGGTAAAGCATTTAATTAACCAAATTAAAGTGACAGTGCTTCTTTTCAGCTTTTCTGCGGCGCACCAAACGTAGCGGACGTCGCCCCGAGACGTGCGTGCGTGCGCGCTCCCGAGCGGAGGGAAGATGGCGGATGTTTGGAGTGAGGCGCTTGATGAGAGCAGCTGATAAAGAGAAACACAAATAACAGCAGAGAAGCAGAAGAAGCTCGCGGGCGAGAGACGGACAGAGACACCGGCAGACAGGTAAACACGCGCGTCCGTCTCACGGCACGCGTGTAATCACCTTCATCATCATCATCATCATCATCATCATCAGACGAGAATGAACCGGCTGTTAGCGCTCAGCTATTGAAGCAGCAGCTGAAGATACTCTCGATTTACCCCTCATTACTCTACTACACGCAGTAACTATCAGTGTAAATACACTAAACTGATCATCTGACGCGCGGCATTAATCAGATCAGAGAAAACAACACAACTGTAGCATCATTGACGCGGCTCTCGGCTGCTCTGATGTGATGTTTGACAGCCTCTGTTATTAACGACGCTTTCTTACGAGCAGTGACGTGAGCAGTGACTCACGTGATCAGGGTCTGAGATGGTCTTGTCACGTGGTCTTACTCAGCGCTGTTTACTCTCAGATCCGCAGACGGCGTCATGTCCGGCTGCGCAGACGGCGAGGACAGCTGCGCGGTTGCCATGGAGACGGAGGAGGTGCAGCCGGGCGAGCGCAGCATGGGCGAGCTCCCCGAGGAGGTGCTGGAGTTCATCCTGTCCTTCCTGTCGCCCTACCAGGAGCACAAGACGGCCGCGCTGGTCTGCAAGCAGTGGTACCGCCTCATCAAAGGTCAGCGGGGGTCACATGATCCCTTGAACCCGCTACTGTAACCGCTAAGTTGTAATAATCACTCTCTAGTCTATGAGAAAATTGCCACATCACACCTATAGTGATAGCGACACCAAAAAATCGTTGGTTCACTTTTAAAGCGATTTTTCCCAGCTCATGAACACCAATAACACTGACAGCCAATCAGAATCCACCGACTTTCCAACTGCAGAAAAAATAGTTATCGTTAAAGTTATCATTATAGTTATTGATTAGGTCTGCATTATCTTCATAATTTTTCATAGTTATCGTATTAATACAAATATAGTTTTCGTTATAGTTTTCCTTATTGTTACAGTTACTAGTATAGCTAACGTTATCGTTACAGTTGATATCATTGTAATTATACTTACCATTATCGCTATAGTTATTGTTGCATTTATAGTTATCATTATCATTAAAGTTATAGTTATTATAGTTGCCATTATAGTTTTCGTTGTAGTTATCGTTATAGTTGTTATTATTACTCTTATAGTTATCGTTATTATCGTTACCATTATAGTCAGCACTATAGTTATAGTTATAGTTACTGTTATAGTCATCGTTATAGTCATCGTAATTATAGTTACTGTTATAGTTATCGTAATCATTATTATAGTTACTGTTATCGTTATTGTTGTAGTTATCGTCATAATTACCAGGATAGTTATTGTTACTTTAGTTACTATTATAGTTATTGCTGTAGTTATCGTTATTGTAAATGCCGTTAGTTGTCATTGTAGTTATCATTATAGTGATTATAGTTAACGTTATAGTTAACAATATTATAGTTACTGTTGTAGTTCACGCTGTAGTTAATATTGATAGTTAATGTTATTGTTATTGTAGGTATTGTTGTAGTTTTTACAGTTACAGTTAAAGTTATCATTGTAGCTGTCATAGTTGTTACTATAGTTATAGTTATCGTTATAGTGACCTGTGCGGTTCTGGTTGTAGTTGTGGTTCACAGTGTGATTGTGTCATGTGACACTGGGATGTCAGACGAGTTTAACGGTCAGTCAAGACACAACAGCTGAGAATGTGAATCACCACAGCTGTGTGAACGACCCTTTAACAGCCGTCTCTCTCTCTCTCTCTCTCGCTCTCTCTCTCTCTCTCTCTCACGTGTGGCGTATCAGTGTTATCATGGTTTCCTGAGGGCCGTTCAGGAGGGAAACATCCAGTGGGAGAGTCGCACATATCCATATCCTGGAACACCGATAACACAACGCTTCTCACACAGTTAGTCAACAGATCACACACACACTCACACACACACACACACACAGAGACACACACTCACACACACTCTCTCACACACACACACACACACGTTTGTTCGTGTTGATGCACTTCAGTCAGTTTCAAGCAGTTCAGAGGTGCTGATCTCACAATATAGTGTGAAGGAACCTCATATTCACACCTCCTGATTTCACTCACACACACACACACACACACACACAGCAGTTTCCTGATGTTTAGTAGCAGTGCTGCACGAATCTACTGAATTAGATCACACTAGATTCTTTTGAAATGACTCTTTTGAACCAGTTCTTTTAATGAATCACAAGTGATTAGTTTGAATCATTCTAAAGAATGACTCATTGACTCAGTCACTGATGAGATGTTCATAATCTAGTTGTATTAAATGATAATTCTTGACAATGTGTAGCATAAAGAGGTTGAGTTTGGTTTGTGTTAGTGTGTGGTGTGTGTGTCGCAGGTGCATGTTACTACGACTCGAACCAGTCGATGTACGTGTTCGGCGGCTGCACTCAGAGCAGCTGTAACGCAGCGTTTAATGATCTGTGGCGTCTGGATCTCAACAGTAAGGAGTGGATCAGGCCGCTGGCGTCAGGTCAGACTCAGTGGTGTGTGAGCGTTTGTGTGTGTGTGTGTGTGTGTGTGTGTGTGTGTGAGAGAGAG